CGGTGACGGGCTCACGGCACTGTGCTCCAGCGCCCCCCCCCTCACCTATCCCCGGAAGTCTGACGAATATTAGTACACGCGGAAAATACCGTAGCTTGCTCCGGAATTTAGTCTGCCGGTAAGAAGGCTTGTCATATCCGGTGATGCATCGAGCACGCGGGTGCGTTCGACAGAGACAGCCGGTGTCACTTGGTGCCTGGGAGAGATAAATGATACCGAGGCTGAAGTCGCATTACATGTGAAACCTTTGAACCTGCCACGACGCACCAAGTGTGGCGGTTTGAAAGACTTTCAAATGATTGAAAAAACTCGGTACTCCCCAGGACTGAAAGCCAGACTGCAATGCTTTTCCCCCTTTCTTCGTGTGACCCTGTGAGATTTGATTCGCCTAATAAATTTGGATTGGGCGCCAGTTCGTGTGTGATACGCGCAGAAGCGCCGTGTAACTGGTTTGGGCACCGAGTTGGCGCTTACTTCCGGCTGTTTTAACATTGGAGCAACAGTATATACAGAAAGTGAGAGTGCGTTCGATGCGGCGCAAGTCTGTTTTACTATGAAGTAGTTTAAGAGAAAGTCTTTGCCGCTGGACCCACCTCGAGGTGGATAGCCTTGGTAGAGGCTGTCAAAGTGTCGAATGCTTTTCGTCTGGCTAGTCGCTGCATCCAAAGTCAACGCTTCCGGTGGGCTTGACGCGGGTAAGCCGCTGCTGCCCGGAAGGCAGGTCGAGATAACAATCACCTTCCTCAAGGTCACTCATTTCCAACTTATCACGGCGGCTTGGAAGGCTATCAGTTGACGGGGAACTCGGTCCACCTGAGGATCGGCTGACGATGGTATTTCTTTAATAATAGCCCCAAAGCCAACGCCAACTCCGGTTCACATGTGTACTCGGATGGACATGTGTGTGGCACGCGTAGACTGACCAATCATTGCGTCCACAGTCATACGCACTTCCACTGACCCGCCCGTTGCCTTGGTAACATGTCAGGTAAATAAAGAGAAGACGAGGGAGATGTGGAAGATCGAAGTACTATAACTCAATTAATCGATGCACCCTCAGGCAGTTAGCGAGTAGGAGTTGTGAAGCTTAGGCCTCTTCCTTTCGTGTTCCACTGGCAAAATTATATCTTAAAGACAATAGACGCGGCTTGGAATGAGTGACCAGGCTGGATAAATGCCCCTCCCCACTCGCAGGTGCTACGGTGCGACTACTTCCATTCCCACAACCGAATCACGTTTCATGGTCAAACATACCGGCTTTGGGCGGGGAGAGTGATTGGTTATTCTCATCTGATTCCTGTCATGGATCAAAGGGGGCAACCACCGTGATCATTGAAGCTTTGTGGAGCGATTGAGGACAACTGAGCAACAGACTG